TTTTGCAACATCAATTATCAAAAAATGCCTGCGCTCGCGCTCCTGCGCAGTCTTCAAAACACCATGGGTGTTTGAACATGTTGGTCAAATTTGGCCCAACGGCCTCCCGCGCCGCATGTGGAATACCATTCGAACGCCCTTGCGCGCGTGCTCTTGGGGGGGGGGGGGGGGCGCGATCCGCGTCAAATAATGCCATGCGGGCCACTCCCGCGCGTCGGCCGCGCACGAATTCAGGACTCTTTTGAAAGCCTTTTTTATCACCGACGCGAGGACGCCGTCATCGCCGTCGGCGTGATCAGCATCGGCACCGTCACTGGCTTTGCCGTCGTCGTTGTCACAATCGTCACCAACATCGCTACTACCACCATCGTGTCTACCACTGTCGACGCTGCCATGACACCGCGCCCGTCCAAATAGCCGATTGGCATTGAAGTGCCGGCTGGGAAGCGCCCAGCGGTTACCGCAACTGCGGCCGCGTCGGCCACGCCAAACTAGCTGGCCGCTTCGCGCGCGAGCGTGCGCGGGCTAGCGCGGCCGCAAAGATGCACCAGCCAACGCCAAGCGCTCATCGCAATCGCCGCCGCACGGGCTTTGCAGACCCAGTTGCGGGTGGGAGGGTGGGGTGGCTGCGCGAGCAGTGGGATTGGCAGCTCGATGCGCACATAGAAGGCACCAGTTACATGCCACAGCACGTGTTCCACAACACCGACTGCTGGAATCACGCTGCTTGGGGCCCAGGGGGTCGCACATCTTGCGGTCGCGTCGATGCCCAGGCGGCCTGGCCCCAAAAAGCGCCCGCCACCGAATCAAATACTACAGAAAATGTCTGGGCGCGCCCGTCGGTCGCCCCTGGGGGGGGAGGGGAAGACGCACTTCCTGCGCTTAGATCGGGCATGTCCCCCTACAGGCGGATGTTGTACGAAAAATGAAAGAATAGCAGCAAAACATCGAAAGATCGTCCCCTGACTATTGCTTGACAGTTTTTGAATCTCCCTCCTGTGGAGTCTACAGGGGCAGGCCCGACTTAATCCTACGCCGCAGCGCGGCAGAGGCAGCTCGCGCACGCGCGCGGACCACCCAGGCCACGGCGCTGCCATCTCGCCCGCATGCAGGGAGGAAGCAAAGCGGGATCTGAACGCTGTTTTTCGTGCTACTTTCCTTTTGTGCTTCGCTTTGCTCTGCCCGTCTTCCTGCACCTCCCTGCACCAACGAAAAACCAAACTCGGAAGCCGGGCAAGGGCTGCAAAATCCGTGGCTGCTAAAAAATCGACCTCCTGGAAAATGTCTTCGTCCTTCCGGGAAGAGGCCCGTTGACTGTTTCGCGTGCCGCGCCTCCTTCCGGGAGGTTGTTTCCTCCTTCCGGGAGGGCCGTTTTAGCAGCCACGGTTTTAGCAGCCCTCGCCCAGCTTCCCAGACATGCCCGGCGTAATTCTTGGCGGTTTCAACACCCTGGCGCTGCCTCCAGCGGCGCCCCCCCGGGCGCTTCTGCGCCCAATGGCTGCGGCGCTGCGACCGCCCCAGGCTGCTCGGGGGGCCAGCTGAGGCCAGCCGGGACTACAGTGGAGACCCATGCCAGCCCCTCGCCTGCCAATGGCAGCTTCCCCCGCCGACTCACGTCGGGGCAGGGCCGCTCCGGGCCGCTTTCCACATGGACGGCTTGGCCGAGCGGTCTAGGGCGGTGGCTCAAGGCTTTCGAAAAACGCAGCCGAAGTCCAGCAAAACGGTTAGGGAGCCCACAAAGGACGTACGCGCCAAGCTATGTACATGAACACGGCCCCTTGACCCGCGAGACCGGCCGCGTGATATGAGTATTCGCGCAGTGCAAAATCTCGAAAACAGCGTGGATTCATGTACGTGTACGTCCTGTTTTCGCTCCTGAACGGTGTCTGGGTCCAGCCCTGGGAGGAGGGGAGAAGAACGCCGATGGGGGCGGCCGCGGAGGCGGGAGCGGGAGAGCAGGGCGCACCCCACGCGGCGAGGCCGCTGAAGGGGAGGGGGGGGGAGGAGGAGGAGGGAGGAGGAGGAGGAGGAGGAGGAGGAGGAGGAGGAGGAGGAGGGAGGAGGAGGAGGAGGAGGAGGAGAGGAGGAGGAGGAGGAGCAGGAGGAGGAGCAGGAGGAGGAGGAGGAGGAGAAGGAGGACCCTCTCCCCCTCCTGTGCCAACAGGCACCAGGGTCGAGAGGGAGGAGGAGGAGAAGAGGAGGAGGAGGAGGAGCAGGAGGAGGAGGAGGAGGAGGAGCAGGAGGAGGAGGAGGAGCAGGAGCAGGAGGATGAGGAGAAGGAGGACCCTCTCCCCCTCCAACTTGTGGTGGTGGTGGTGGTGGAAGACACGCCCCTCAGGTTTTTTTTTTTGAGGGGGGGGGGGGGGGGGCGACGCACACGTGGCAGAAGGTATGAACATAGCACATGTGGTCGACTGCCACCGCAACCGCAGCCCCACCCCCGGGCAGCGCGCGCCAGACTGCGAGCCGCCCCCGGGAGCCCGCACCACCCGTCACGCCCACGACTGCCACCAGGAGCACGCATGTTGGGCCGCCCGCGGGCCACTGCAGCCGCACGACTTGCGCTCCAGTGGCGCGAGCGCCGTTGAAGGCTGTATCCCGCAGCATGGCGACAAAGATGCACGATCAGAAGATACCCCGACAGCGGCATACACAACACTCTAGAACAGGGAGGCCCGAAGCGCGGCAGAGAGAAAGAAATAACGAGAGCGAGAGAGAGAGAGAGAGAGGGTGGTCATGGGATCTCGGCGGAAGAGACGGCCATATAGAATGCCCCAAAACATGATGAAGGGGGGTACACGTGCACGTGCATCTTGGCATGCAGGAAATTTACGTGGTCAACAAGCCCAGGAGGCAGCGTAGGAGCGCACTCCACGATTACTGCGCAATTGAATGAGAGAGCGATGCAATGATTGATGGGCCTGTTTTCCACCACCACCACCACCACCACCACCAATAGTTCGAGAAGGGAGGAGGAGGAGAAGGAGGAGGAGGAGGAGAAGGACGAGGAGGAGGAGGAGGACCCCCTCCCCCTCCAATGTATGGTGGTGGTGGTGGAAAACAAGCCCATCAATGATCGTTGCACACCCCTCCATCGAGCCCCTGGCTGCAGCCCCGCTTTGCAATCCCAAACGCCCAGAGGCTCCAATAAACTGGTAGTTCCATGTGGAACGGCTCGGCCAACATCTTCCGCACGTCCTCCTCACTTCGGATCCGCTGCGACCGCACATACGCAAGAAAGAGCACTAGCCAGAATCCAACGCGACAACAGCGTCCACACTCAAAGAAGGGGGTGCGTGCTCCGTGCAGACCCCACCTCACTGGGCCGCACTGGCGTGATGCCCCCTCTGCGTGCCTGCATGCGCTCACCGTGTGCCTGCAGCGGTGGCATCGCGCGGCGCCACGCGAGACTGGCTCATGCTCGCGACCCCCCTTGGAGAGCACCAGGGCTTTCTTCTGGGGAGGCCGAGGAGGAGACTGAGAGGCGACCAACAGGACGGGCCAGGGAGGAGCCTGCAGCTCCAGATCTAGATGCACACACACACACACATTGACACAGAGCCCACTTCAGCCACGCACCAAAGGACAGTGAACGACCGCTCGGCCCCCTCGCTCTGTTATAGATATAGGTGTGCGTTTGAATTGCGACGTAACGACTTCAAGAGATCGGTCTCCCGTGCCTCCAAGAGGCCTCAAAAGAAGCCCCGCAATAGACGCGGAGGAATAGGGGGACGACTCGGCAACACCTTACACGAAGACAGCACGACGGTAAAAAGCGAAACACACACGCACACACACACACACACGACATCGGACGCCGCCCATCTCCTCTTCTGAGGATCACCGGAATGGCCTAAGCCTTTTGACTCGCATACGTGTTACGATATAATTCTGCCACGGGAGCAAACGTTATTTCGACTTGGCCATGCTGAAAATACATGTGCAATCGCACGATTGTGGTCTATTTTACCACTCTGGAAGTGAAACAGCTAGCCCGACCCGACGCTGACAACGAAGTAGACCAGTGGACCCGCGTTGCGCACACTCTCCGTGGCATGTGTTCAAGCAGTTGGCGTTGCACGTTGAGAGCCATGCTCTGCATTTGGACTTGCAAGGCTGGCGACGAAAAGCAGCCCCATTGCCTGGGCGAGCTGTTCTGCGAAAGAGCCGAACCCAGCACTGCGCTGTGATGGCGCCCCGTCGGGGGGACGGCGAACTGCGCAAATGATGGAGCAGGAGGGGGTGGGGGAGATGGAGCAGGAAGGCCCTGGACTCTGGAACTGGTGCGCCATGCAGCTCAGAAGAGGCGAACCCATCCAACGTATAAGAGGAGAGGATACAACAGACAGACAGCGCGACACGACGCAGACGAACGACGACGATGACGACATCGCCAGCGGCAGCGGCAGCAGCTCTGCACGCTGCACTCGCCGTCCGCCTGCGCTGCCACCCTCTCGCGCTGCCGCCGCCACTGCCGTTGCCCGTTACCTCCAAAGTTGCCACCGAGAGCTCGCGAGGCAAAAAGGTACCAATACACCCTGCGAAATGCTTAAGAAACCATGGGTTAAGAAATTCAGAGTCTCAGAACTGGAATAAAAGCCCAGAACTTCTATCAAAATCTTGGGATTTACATTGACAAGTTAAGAATAATCAAGACTCTGGCCGAAAACTTGGGTTTTCTTAAGCATCGCCTAAGGTGTACTGCTACGGTGAGGGCATTGGATGGAGAAACTCCTTGACAGAGACCGGGCCCCGATTTGTGGCCACCGCGATCACCGCGGCGACCTCCAAAACCGACCCGAACCAAAAAGACGTAACGACCCAAGCTTCCCCTCAGGCTCCTCCACCTCCCGTTCCTCCCGCTTCTCTGGACCTCGTGAGGGAAAAAGGACGGAGGAGGGCCTCCTCGTCCACAGAGGACCAGGAGGGGGGCCAGAGGCAAACCTGCGCTGGGGTTATAAGGCTGCAGAACAAGTCAGCGCAAAGAGGCGGTCGGAGTCCCTCTTGTCGTGCTGGTGCTCGCGAGTGTAGAGGACGATGTACTGGGTGGGTGGTCGGCAGATCCAAAGTGTGAGCGACCACTCGCGCAATCACCACATATTCTCTTGCCCCGATGCTGGGCAGAGAAGTAGATTTCACAACGAGTGCGCTTTCTCATCATCTCGGCGGCCCTGTGAATCAGCTGGCCCCCTCGGGGTGGGCAGGGCTGCGAAAGTTGTGCTGGACTGGTGTCCAGATTTTTTCGTGCTGTCTGTTGGCGCTCCGTCTATCATTTCTCGAACCCTGTCTCCATGATACTGTCTACGGGGGGCCCGTGACGCCAACGATAAAATTTGGAGGAGGAGGAGGGTTCATCGGCCGCCTCGCCGCTCTATAAGTTGTTCTGGAGTTCTGGGGTCACTGCATTATGCAGCCAGGAGGGCCCGAGAGGCTTCGTATACGGCCCCATGAGGCCCCGAAATATCCCAAGAGTCTAAGACGGCCGAATCTGCCCCAATGTGCCTCGAAGTTGTTGCTAAGCAACAACCATAAAACGCAATTGAGTTTTCAATGTATTATGCCTGGCCCACGTGTTGTGCCCAAGATGTCAGAAGATCGCTTCAAGATGGGCTTCTGAGCCCCTGAGATGACCCAAGCCAGCCCAAAGGGTGCAAGGCACCAGGATGCCACCCAAATCGCCCATGATGGCCAACAAGGCCCCGACATGCCTCAACATAAGCCCCAAGAGCCGAAAGGTTGCAGCCAACAGCCCCAGGATGCCCCCGGGAAGCCCGGAGATGGCCCCCGAACTGCTCCAACATACCCACAGCATGATCAGGATGGCTCAGCCTCTGGGGGTGGGCGGCGGGCAAACGCGCCAGCATCCGCGCACACGGCAGGCCCGTGACGCGCCGACCCCGGCGCTGGCTCCTGACACCGCGGGGATCGTTCCGCCTTGGACCGGCCGCTTCCGAAACGTCGGGTCCTTCAACATCGACCGATTCTGGGCCGCTGGCGGCGCCCCACGTCGAACGCCGGCGGCGGGATCGCCGCCGGGCGACATGACGCGAGCCTGCCGTGCCAGACTCTGCACGGCTTCTCTGGCCCTGCAGAGAGCCCGCGGCCCTGCGTCGCCGCTCGGTGGCGAAACCACGCCTCCGCCCGCGCTTTTGGCCACAGGGCGCACAACAGAAACCCGCCGATCCGGCGTGTGAGCTTAAGGGGGAAGGGGTGACCAGGGTGGCTCTGCTGGGGTAGGTGGCGGGAGGGGTCCGGCGGCGCGGATTCCGGTGGCGCGGGGGGGGGGTCTGGTTGGGTGGGTTCCAGTGGCACGGGGGGGGGGGTCCGGTCCCCCGTCCCGCCTGTGTACAAGAGGAATTGGGGGAAGAGGGGGGAAGGGGTGTTCCGATGGCCGGGGTGGCTCTGCCGGGGTACGGGGAGGGGGGAGATTCGGCGGCGCGGGTTCCGGTGGCGCGGGGGGGAAGGTCTGGTCCCCCGTCCGCCTGTGGACAAGGCGAATTGGGGGAAGAGGGGGGGGGAGGGGTCCGGCGGCATGGGTTCTGATGGCGTGGGGCATGGGAAGAGGAGGGCTCCGTGGCGCGTGAGTTCGAAAGAGCCCCAGCTACAGCCCGAGGCTGAGCTTCAGCCTCTGGGGGGGCTGCCGGGGTGGCTCTGCCGGGGAAGGAGGGGAGGGGGGGGGCGCGCGCGTGTGCGCGGGGTAATGTTTGTCCGTGTACGCGAGAAGGGAATCGGGGAAAGAGGGAGAGAGAAACGGAACGGGACAAGAGCGGAAAACGGAAAACCAATGGAGGGGGAAGACGAAGGTGGCGGTGAAATGCAGGCCTGTCGCATGGTGTGTGTGTGTGTGTGTGGATGTGTGTGTGTGTGTGCGTGTGCGTGTGTGCGTTGCCCGCGTGTGCGTGTGTTTGTGCCTGCGAAGGTGGCGCGCGTGTGTGAGTGTTGTGTGTGTGTGTGTGTCTCTGGGTGTGTAGTGTGTATAGTGTGTATAATGTGTGCGTTGTGTGTGCGCGCGCGGGCGGGCGGGCGGGCGGGCGGGTGGGCGCGCGTGCGTGCGTGCGTGCGTGCGTGCGCGCGTGCGTGCGTGCGTGCGTGCGTGCGTGCGTGCGTGCGTGCGTGCGTGCATGCGTGCGTGCGTGCGCGCGTGCGCGCGTTCGCGCGTGCGTGCGTGCGTGCGTGAATGCGTGCGTGAGTGCGTGCATGGGTGTGTTGTGTGCTGTGTTGCGTGTTGTGTGTTGTGTATTGTGTGTTGTGTGTTGTGTGTTGTGTGTTGTGTTGTGTGTTGCGTGTTGCGTGTTGTTTGTTGTGTGTTGTGCGTTGTGCGCTGTGCGTTGTGTGTTGTGTGTTGCGTGTTGTGTGTTGTGCGGTGTGTGTTGTGTGCTGCGCGCTGCGTGTTGTGTGTTGTGTGTTGTGTGTTGTGTGCTGTGCGTTGTGTGTTGTGTGTTGTGTGGTGTGTGTTGTGTGTGTGTTGTGTGTTGTGCGCTGTGTGTTGTGTGTTGTGTGTTGTGTAATGTGTTGTGTGTTGTGTTGCGTGTTGAGTGTAGTGTGTGTTGTGTGTTGTGTGATGGGTGTTGTGTGTTGCGTGTTGTGTGTTGTGTGTTGTGCGATGTGTGTGTTGTGTGCTGTGTGTTGTGTGTTGTGTGTTGTATGTTGTGTGTTGAGTGTTGTGCGTTGTGTGTTGTGCGTTGTGTGGTGTGTGTGTGTGTTGTGTGTTGTGTGTTGCGTGTGTTATGTGTTGTGTGTTGTGTGTGGTGTGTGTGTGTGTGGTGTGTGGTGTGTGTGTTGTGTTTGTGTGTTTGTGTGTGCGTGTATGTGAGTGCGTGTGTGCGTGTGCGCGTGCAATGTCCGTGAGCGTGTGCGTGCGTGTCTGTCGGCGGAGTGTCGCCGCCCAGTCTGGGGGGCACCCCAAGCGACCCGGATCGGCGGCACTGGCCGAAGTCCACTACACTACACACAAATCCCAGGATTCCCCTTGTTTTCCCATATGTTTTGAGTTTTCGTCCTCTCCCCCACGTGTCATATGATCCCTCATTCCCCCATGGGAATCGACGATTCTGTGTGTCTGTGTTCTTTCTCCCTCCTGAAGCACACCGCCTCGAAGAAGGTAGAGATGATCGCCGAGACGCCTCCGGGTTCTCGCTTCCAGAGAAGAGAAGTGGGCTCTGATCCCCTGCCCCCCTGGACCAATCGCCCCCCCCCCCGTCTGGGACACCGCAGATTACATGTGGTGCGGCCTCCTGCCTCTGTGTCTCGGGCCTCGCCCCGCTTCATCCTTGCCAAATGTTACGATGCGCGCACTCTCGTGCATTTCAGGAAATCCTTGGCCAGTTGGGAAAGCACATTGCCACACAAAAGGGGCGGCGCGGTCCACACGCGCGCACACGTCGAAGCCATACCCCCCCCCAAGCCCTCAAAAAATCATCCGTGCTGCAAGCAGATCATCTTGAGACCATCAGCGGGCGTTAGTTCTGCATCGCTGAGCCTGCACATGGTCTGCCGCCCGAGCTTGCTGAAATCATGGCAAACATATCTGAATTAACAATCTCGCTCAGAACCCGCAGTCTCTTCCCACCATGCGGTGCACCCGTGTGAATCCAGCATGCGCCCAGCGCGCGAATCCGTACTAAATAATAGCATGCGGGCCAAACGCGCGCGCCCCAACGCGCGCGTGTCGAAGTCCTTCCAAGACCAATGGTGTTCGAAGCATCTCTGTATACAACTTTTCAAACATATATGCAACACAACAAATGTCGTGTAATCAAACAGTCTGCCAGGTTTCTTCGATTTCTGCGCGCGCACTCGCGATCAAACTCATCAGCGCCACCACATCACTTCACCGTCGTCAACAAGCGCCGCCATTACAAGGATCCTCAACCGAACACCTTCGTCACCGACACATGGACATCATCATCGCCATCGTCGTCACCAACATCGGCGCCGTCATTGGCCTCGCCGTCGTCACTTCATCATCGCCACCACCACCGCTACTGTTAGTATCGTTGGTGCCGTTGTCGACGTCATCATGATACCGCAACCGATCGAGTCACCGACCCGCAGTGAAGTGTCCGCGCGCCAGCTGGCTGCTCCGCGCGCGAGCTTGCGCGTGCTAGCGCGGCAGCAGCGAGATGCGCCAGCCAGGCCAAGCAGCCATCGCAATAGCGGCCGCGTGGGTTTTGCAAGCCAAGTTGTGGGTGGGAAGGTGAGATGCGTGCGCGAGTAGTGGACCTGACAGCTCATGAGTTGGCAGCAGCTAGTAGCAACACCTATGATTTCCTGTCCCACAGAGATCCACAACCCTCTCCTCCAAGACTCCTCAGACCCCCCTGCGACACTGCAAATCGCAAATGCTTACGTCTTCCCAACCGTTCGTTTGCCATATGAGTTCGCACCATCCCAGTCAAACCAGTATGGCCCCCCCTTCGATCCGAATCACATACTACTCTGCGGGCACATTGTACATCTGAAAAAAATGTTGCAAGAGCCCCTTCATTTTGTTTTTTGTTATAAAACAGCGCACAACGTCCACACGCGCGCACATGTCGAGATTACAGCAAGCTACACAGTGTTGTAAGCACTTCGGCAAAACATGCACCAGACAACGTGATGCGGCACCGCACATATTGCATAGTATGTCCTGCCCGTGCGTTTGCTGAGCCCATGGGAAGACCACCCGAGTTTGATACTCTCGTCCACAAACCCGCACTCTCATCTCACCACGCAGTGCATCCGCGTTGGTCCGCCGAGCGCCGAGCGCACGAACCCGCAGCAAATAACGCCACGCGGGCCACATGCGCACGTCCCGAATCCCTTCCCAAAATATTTGGTCCGAAGTGTATCATAACAGAGCTCGCCAGAAACAGATGAAAGACCAAACAATTTGCAACACAAATCTGCCAGTTCTCTTGAAGTACTGCGCGCGCACATCTCCCGATCAACATCCACACTGGCACCATTGCATTACCGCCGTTATCGTAATCATCGATCGTCGCCAAGACCGTCATCATCAACAGTTCAAATTCATCACCGACGCCTGGACATCATCATC